TTTGCTTGCTGGCAGTTGTGGAAAAGTAAAAAATTATAATGAAGTTGAATACAATTTTTTTTAGAGCATCAAAATTCCAGTTTTGTTCTGTGCTAAATGAAATGTTTTGGTTGGATTTTTATTTTTTTTAAAGCGAAGGGAATCGGTGAATGGAGGCAGTGGAGTTGTCCACTCTTAATAGCTGAATGGTTGGAGCTCTCGCTTGCTCTAGGTTTGAATATCATTACCTCCTCCCAGATGAAGGCTGCTGTGACTATTGGGCCTAAATATTTGCCCTTATTGTAGGTCAAATGTAGACAGAAAATGTGCGGGTTCATAACATGTCACAGTAACCTACAAAATTACCTTGAAAACTAATTATGGAAAATAGGACAAGGTTTTTGTTCCCCAATAATAAATGTTATGAGAAGTGAACCAGACACGCACACATCTGTGTCATCCTTTTGCTTTTCACTTTTTGCTATTGCAGTACATCAGAGGAAGAGTGACAAGACAAATTGTACTCCCGTGACAATTTGAACCAATTGGTCTCTCCACTTTCTGCCCTTTCACAGCATTTTGAAACTTCATACAGCATCTTAACCAGTGACACTAACCCTTTGGGAAGTCCAGATTGTCCTCTTGCATAGTGAAGGCACTTGAAGACCTTTAAGACTAATCTTAAAGGAACCTTTAAGACTAATCTTCTCTGGTAAGCAAGCCTTTTCTCAGTTTAAGCTAGTAATGCAACTGGGACACGGCTACTCAGTGCTGCTCGAATGTTATTTGGCAGAGTGACCACTCTCAGGCTCCTTCAAGCTGGATCATTGAGACCAATTCTTGTCGGGGGCTGGTTTTTGTAACTGATATTTTTTTACATGGACAGGTAGTTAGTCTGACTCCGCCATAGATCTATGACTTCTTATATGATGCACAGGAGTGGAGCCTTGCAAATCCACAGATAGCCGCTTTGTATCTGCAGGTAGCCACATCCGTGGATGTCAGAGTGGCTATCCGCAGCCTATTTTTGTAGATACAGAGACAAATCTTGCATCCATGCAGGGCTCTGCAGAGCAGACTGTGCTGTGTATCCGGTTCCCTCATCTAGGCCTGCTGACAGGGAAGGGCGAAGGGGGGATATTAAAGGATCTTGGCAATGCTCAGAGCACTGGGCCCTTTAAGTCACTGCTGGAGTATCCCATGGTGCACTGCTGGCAGCATGGAGGTGTGGAGGGAGGAGGGTACATGAGAATGCTGAGGTGGGTGTGGTGCTGGGGGAAGCAAGGGGGTGCCGTGGTCTGGGCAGTGCTGAGGGCTGGCTGCTCCCAGCCTCACCCTTTCCACCTGAGGCTCTGCCCCTTTTGGGAGCATGGAGCCATTCTCCTCCCCTCCCCCACTATCACTTTGTCCAGGGGCCTACCACAGCTGTAAGCTCCCCTGCCCTCTTCCACCCCCCAGAGGGCTCGCTAGGAGTTTAAGATGGCCCAAATGGGTGAGTGGCTCCCTGATGAACTAACACTCAGCTCAGTATGGCGTTATGAGCAGCACAAAATAGCTGTGTCCCCATTGTATTGTTAGCTCAAGCAACACTGTCGAGGTTCGATCCACCTCCCAAATGGGCCATGTAGCTGCTGTTGAAAGCACCACCAAATTCATGTTAGAGAGAAAGTGTGTGGATGGGAATTAGGTTGGGGCAGCTCTTGGGAGGTACCGCAAGATAATGCTATAGTGGAGACAAGCTCTGAGAGGTGGATGCTGCCATTGAAAGTTTCAATGAGAAGGAAGCACTGTGTGGCTTTTGTTTTCCCAAGCAGATAAACAGTAGGAGATACAGGGTTCAGAGAGGGAAACTTTGCTGCTGTCCTTTTAACTTGCGCTACTACGTAGTAGCTAGAGTCATGGATGTTGACACCAGGATTATAGTTTTAAGCAGGCTCCTTTTGTTTCTTGTCAAGAGACACCAAGATACTGGAAAGGATCCAGCAAAAGAATAATAAAAATGACTCTTTTCCTGCTACAGAATAGCAATGCGTTATTCTATGAGAGACAAAGGGAGTGCAATTAATGTTCCCTAGTGCATTAATGGGATTAGGGAAATGTGATTACAAAAATAGTGCAAGGCAGGATAATGTAAATGCAGATAAACAGTTTACATGGAAGAAAATCTTCCACCCCCCCTCCCCCATTGCATTTGACCTCTCAAAACTGTAAATTTGAATGTCTGTCCAACGAAGTAGTGCAGATGCTTGTTATGGTGAAAGTTTTAGGGTCAGTTCTGCAGTGAATCTGAGTTGACATGCCTATAACTTTGATCCCCAGCTTGTTTGAAGTCTGTGAGGTTTTTCTAATGTTGTCAAAGGCCTTTTGAGTCACACCTTGGATGAGGAGTTGTCAGCAGGCTTTCAGCATTTCATCATTGCAAAGGCATATTGGCAAGTCAAGATCTTTCATTGCGTACTCTGGGCCCAATGAAGGAAAGAGCAATTACAGGGCATCTACTTGCTTTTGGCAATTTGTCAAACTTCACATGATAGTGGAGTCTAGTAGTAGACATACAGTAGTTATTTGGAGGGCATTCACTTTCGGGATTTAGGCTAGGCTATGTAACTTACACTGAAATAGCTGCAAATGCTTAAAGTAGACATTCTACTGGTGCAATGTACTCCAGTGGCTTACTAGGATAAATTAGAATAGTACAAGTCTCATCTGGGACAGCTTCCATTGGGAGTTTGCACTCGCTTATTACAAAATTAAAAAGAGATTAGGTGTGGAAGGAAGAGAGACCGAACAACCCAGTGTGCACAGAGCCTTAGAGAGGCGTTTGCATTAAAGTAGTGGTTGCGATTATCTCTTTCTGCCAAAAGATATTTCATGGTCATGCCCTACCACCATTCTCCATAATATTATTTAATCTGATCAGGTTGAAATACATTATGAAGACCTTAGAGTAGACCTTGTCAGTTATTTCAAATTCTTCAATAGAGAGACTGTATCCTTGGAAAGGCCATGACTACAAAATTAAATATCACCAGCTTCCTAACTTGCTGCTTTTTAGTTTTAAAATCTATTTCTAAAGCTGAAGCCATAAGATAAACTGTATGTTCAGTGCATCATTCATCTTGCCTATATGGAAAGGACTCGCTTGAATGTTGGCTTGATGAGGTATGCCATTTTGCCAAAATTAGCTTGAGACCGTTTTGTAAAAATGGAAATATTAATGCCTTATTACTAACATGGTACAAGTCATGCTGTATCTCTTTAAAAACAAATTCCTTCTCTTAAATAGAGTGCTTGTCAAAGACTGAGTTGTCAAGAAGTGTTATTCACGGAATAGGATACATTCGGGGTAACACAAGTAAGCTGACCCAAAATGGGCACTGATTCACTTTGTCCAAGTCTGTTAAAGTCAAGGATATTACGTGGGCTGTAAGGCAGTTTAGGATTGGAACTGGGGGGCTGGATTGTGTTCTCAGTTACACTCTTCAGGAAAGAGGCAATTCTGGGGAGGAGGGTAGTTGAAATAGCATAGCCATACAATTTGTTGTCTTGAACCCAGTCTACAGTAGGGGGTTATCATATATATAGTAGCCCAATGTCTGTGACTCTGTAATGCTGAAATACTGGCTGTTGCCTCTGGGCGGCGCTGTTGCCTGAGTCACATCCTTCGCCTCCCACCGTGGCGCTCAGCTGACTTCTGTGCCACTCAGCCGGGCCTCCATGGGGAAGCAAGTGGCTGTTTGGGCTCCGCGGGGGAAGGGGAGACACCCGAAAAATCCTGTCTTATGAAGGGCTATTGGCTAGTTTCAAAATAACAAGCGGAGCATCCACACTACCAAACCCTTTGTTTTGAAAGAACAGGCTGGTTATTTCAAAATAAGAACTCCTGCTTTCCATGAGGAAGAACACTAATTTCAAAATATTTATTTCAAAGTAGCAGTAGTGTGGATGCTCAGCTGCTGCTATTTTGAAATAACTACTCAGAGTAATTCAGACCAATTACTACTTAGTGCTTCCTGGGGCGCTAAGTCGAGGTAGCACATCCACATTAATGGAGCCTGCCTCGGACTAGTTTTAAGGTTTCCCTGTAGTGTGGCTGCACTATTTAGAAATTATTATTTCGGGAGTTGTTGTTTCAAAATAACTTATTTTGAAATAATTTCCTAGTGTAAACATGCACTTGGTGTGTTGAAGCCTTCTCACTACACAGCCACCACTGGAATTAGAACAAGTTGGCATTGAACCACAACAGTTCTTTTCACACAGACCATTGAATAGCCATGGTCTGTATGGAATATTTCCCCCTCTTTGAGATTGCTCGGTCTTACTCAATTACAATTGACACTTAAAATATTCACGTTGTTTTAATTAGTACTGACCTGGTAGTAACAATAGGGTAAACTCTGCTCCATATGTTCAGATGGCATTTCCATATATTATGTGAAACTTTAAAAGCATTAACACATGAAATCGGGTGCTGGGGGAATTGAGGGCTGGGATTCATGATGTTTGCAGAAGGAAAACCACTAATATTCAAGATGCTCAGTGTATATGTTACACTCCACACTGTACACTTACAGGTATAGCCTGTGATTCAAAATTTGGAATAATATTCCCACTGTTGGTAGCCTTTTACAGAAGTAGTAATTACTATGGGTCATTCATTACCTAGTCATGTTGCACAACAAAACCTCTTATTTCTAGGTCAGATTGTGGTACCTTGATTCTGTTCCATTCAAGCACTTGGGAGCAGGATCAGTCCTATCTTTTGTAGTGTCTTTTACCCCACGTGATGCCACTGAGTTTCTGAGAACTCCTTGTGGAGTACTAGTTGATGTGAATAAGGGAATTGTGAAGTGGTTCTGTGAGGGAATCTGACTTGGTATTTCCATATACAAACTTAAACCAAGGCCATATTGTATTTGGGATTGTTTTTAAAGGGATTTGCTTTCACAGATGACGTAGGTTTGCAATAACTGCCCCACCTTGCTTCCTTCAGCTGCTCTTCATGCCGTGGAATGTTTCCCTTTTTGTCTGTTCTGTTTCCACAGCAATCAGGACTTTACGAGTATAAAATCTTTGGTGGCCTTACTGAGTGTCCCCCAGAGTTGTGTGCAGATGTCTATATGGATTTAGAGTACAGAAAACAATGGGATCAGTATGTTAAAGGTTAGTAAATAATCAAATTGCTTTTTAAAAGTTTAAGCCTCATCCAACTTTTTAGGAAGCCTCCCTGAGAAGGAAAAAAAAAATTCTCTCTCTCCTCTTAGGGTCATATTTCCCAAAGGACTTGAAGTCACATTTTCAGGAATTCAGCATTTATAATTGAGGTCAAGTTATAAAAAGCACTCCTCACTCAGTATGCCCCCAGTTGTATACCAATAAGTGTATATGACAGCTGAATTCTTGTCTAGTCATCGCCAAACTTGAAAAATCAAGAGAGCACCTCACAGCATCAGTCCTTGCCACTTTGAAGTACTTATGAGCCCTGTGGTCTCTGAATCCCCGTGCCTTGTGCTTCAAGTGTCTCTGAAGGCTGGGGGAGGGGACATGCAGAAGAGGCGCTGCCCAGATCGCTGCTTGAGGCCCTTCCCCTTTTGGGAGCACGGAGCCACCCCACACACATTTCCTAGGGGCTTGTGCAGTCTGTTATCTCCCCTGTACATGGCCCTTATTTCCACAGGATCCAAGTACCTCTCTGTTTTAAGTGTGTTTATCCTCATGGCACACAGGCAGGTGGAAGTAGTTTTAGCTCCATTTTACAGATGGGCAAAACTCAGGCACAGTGAGGCTAAGTGACATGCCTAAGACGGCAGAAAAAGTCTAGGGTGGATTAGATAGTTGAACCCAGGTCTCCTAAGTGGCAGGCTGGCACCTGAACCATTGCTCTGCACTGTCTATGGGGAAATGTCTCCCTTTGAAGTGCTCTTTGCCTGGTGACGCAGTAGGCACAAAGCCTGAGACACGGTGCTGGGGCTCACACTCTCATCACACTCTGTGTTCCTGCTTGGAGGCTGGGTCGGCACAAGCTTTGCACTATAATTTTATTTTATACTCTTCTTAAATATTAGGTGACCGTATTGCTGTCACGTGCTCAGAATAGCTGTCCTCCTGGTGGCAGTTTTGCAGGTGAGGTCAGGCTTAGCTCTCATAGGCCCCACATTTATTTGTCTGTTTTGGGAGAGCCTTGCTACCCTTTTGGGTGCTTTACAAAAATAGTGACTGTCCAATTGGAAAACCTAAAACACCTATCAATGGCCTCCCCAGAAGTAATAGTTCACCTGGCCTCATTCAGAATGTTAACGTGTCAGTTATCAACCATGTTCCCATGCCATCCACACACCTGTTTCCACAAACACCTGGAGGAGGAAGGTAGGAAGGATGGGTTGAATTTGCAATGCGTCTGGATGGCCAACAGCTGGAGTCCAGAGGGGCAAGGGCTCTATTTAGGAAAGTACTCAAGAACATGCGTATCCCACTGAAGTCATAGTAATTAAGCATATTCATGTGTATTTTCCTGAATAGGGACCTGGAAGAGCATGTTCCAAAGCCAAGGAAAATCTTGCCAGATACCCTCCTTGCTTTTAAACTCTGGGAGCTCTAGCCAGTGAATGGTTGTGCTGACAGCACCTTGATCAGTATTGTTGCGAGAGTTACTTAACCTACCAAAAATAAGTTGATTGAAATTGTTCTGTAGCTTTACTAGTGAAATTAGGTGTAAGCTAACACAAAGTAGCTACAGTAAAACTCTGATGGTCCGGCATCCCTGTAGCTTTACTAGTGAAATAGGTGTAAGCTAACACAAAGTGGCTACAGTAAAACTCCGATGGTCCGGCATCTGATGGTCCGGTACTCCTGATGGTCTGGCACCATTAGGAACCCAGAAGTGCTCCGGGCAGCTGGACCATTGGAGCTGCTCTGCCCT